ATTTGCATGTTTGTTTTTTTTTAATGGAACGCCAGGTTCTAACAAAATCCCTTCAGTCTCTATTTTTAATCCTATTTTATGGTCTTCTGTTGCTTTACTCATATTTCCTCTCACAAGCATACCATATCTTCCCCCTGTGAAATGCAAGTCAGCTTTTAACGTCAGCAATCAGATCTGCAGAGTGTACAAGTTTTCCAGCCTCCTCCCCAGACACAACCAGGCTAATCAGCTGTGTTCAGTAAGGAGCAGTGATAAAAACAGAATTGCACCAGAGGGTTAATTTTTAAATACAACAACTCTAATATAGGAACTGTTTTTATCTGCAGAAAATAAAAAAAAATAAAAAAGAAAAAAAGTGAGGCAAAACTTACCTACTTAAGTGTATATTACTATTATATTGAGCTATTTCAGAGCAACTACTTGAGAATGAATCTTTTTCTGGCTTTAAGTTCTGGAGCAGCCCTTTAAATTCATAGCCTATCGTCTTCCCAATTAACTGGTCTTTTCAGGCAAGCCCTCAGCTAACTTATTCTAAAATTCTAAAATAGACAAACCAGTGTCAACGCCAATGCCCAAGGGCCTAACTCAGCCAGCTTTTCACATTAAAGGCATTATGCCTTGTCTGCATCAGACTTTTAAAATGTATCAGCTAATATGTGCTAATGACACACATTTAAACCCTAGTCTAGACAAAGCCTGTGCGATTGCCCTCTGAATGCTGACAGCAAATCTGATTACCCCATTTTAATCATGAAAGGCTATAAACATCTAAGAGTTATCCAAACCTACCCCATAGCGAAGAACAGGACTGTGCATGGGATCTAAGCCTCAAAATACCCTCATGGGGTGAGACCTTTGGCCTTGCACAAGCAAGCCTGTCAGTGGGGATAAAAAAGCCAGGCTTTAGCAGACAGAAACATATCTATGCACAGGAATCTCTTACACCAGGATAAAGAAAATGACCCAACAGCGATTCACTTGTGTTACTGCTTTGACATTGGTGTTCAGCTCATAGTCTGACAGGAACAGGAGGCAAAGAGTTGAATTGGAACAGAGATGTGGCTATGTATCTGTATGCTGTAAACTGATCCGTTTAATTCAAGTAACAGTTTTTCTACACATATTTTAAAGCAAGTTTTGAAAAATTGGAAAGGATATTTAAAAAAAAAAAGGATGCAATGATTTGAGGAAGAGAAGATAAATGCTTTATAGCAAAACACTTAAAAACTCAATCTGTTTAGCTTATGAGAAAGAATACTAAGAAGTAAATAGACTACAATAAATAAATATCTTCACGGGGAGAAAATATGCAGTACTAAAGGATTATTTAATCTTGCAGAGAAAAGCAAAACTGGCTAAAAGAAGCCAGAAAAAATGAAGTTAGGAAGTTAGGACCCAATTTTGACAACACCAATCTCTTCTAAGAAACTATCAAGCAAAAAAAATATCTTTTTCATCAGTTGATAACCTAGATTACGACTGGATGATTTTATGGGAGGTGTATTTTAATCCACCATATGCTATTGGGATCACTACAGAATTAACAGTGACATGGCTAAGACAGTAGCAGTCCAAGTCCATTTTTATTTTTAGGCTTCAATGTTATGCATATAAAAGTACATAAATTGGCAAGAGGTACTTACCAGCCTGAGCAAAGAGTTGTAATATGTAGGTGGTATGATTGCAGGAATGCTGTCTGCTGGGTTTAAAGGAATATATACTTTTTTTCCTCTTGCTGCCCCACAAATATCCCTGTTGAAAGGGCATCTGACATTGGAGTCAGCCTATTAAATCTGAATAGGCACAGTGTTACCCAGTGTGAGGCAAAACACTTAATCTAAGGTACTCCTGAGCATATATATTTGATTTTGCTTATAAATTCAGTGTAATGGGTTTATATAGTCAGAGTATTTGTACCTTGTAAGCATAATTTCCTGATCTGGCTGCTTTTTCAGTTGACTTACTTGTTCTTGAAACATTCCATTTTAACTCAGTAAATACATAGTGAATTTTTGGTGTCCAGTCACACACAGAACCAGAAAGAATTTGATGCTGTTTCTGCTTTCATTTTGAGGGAAAAGTTAGGGTGAAAGAACTGTAGAACTTAGGATAACCAGAGTGACAAGTCAAGGGACAACTTGTACCTCTTCACAGAAAAAAAAAAAAAGAAATTTTAAAAACCTCCCACTTTTAATACTGAACACTGAGGTGCATTTGTTAAGTGGAAAAAATGGACATCAGTTCTACATCAGACCTGGTAATTACTGGTGTCAGAGGCACCAAAAGAATATCTAAAGCAAACTCTCTCCTTTCCCTCCTTTTATCTCCAAATCTCCTTCCCCAAATCAACTCATATCATCCCAGAACTTTTTTGTCATACTAAAACTGACTGTCAAAGCCATCCTGATTTTAAATAAAACAATGCTTACAAGATCAGAATTTTTACTTAAACAAACCACCCAGAATGCTCTTACATCCAATTTTCTCGCTTTAGATTCCACAGCATTTGCTGCACATCATGTGTAGCTAAATGTAGCATAGCTTGATACAGGATTTTCTCTACATCTCAGTATAGCTGTTCCTTAAGTGAATGTGATGCTCTGGTAGTCCTGAACATGCAAGTTTTGCCCTAAACACACACACTTCAATAAACAATTGACTCCACTATGTATGAGGAGGTATTAAGAATTTCCTTTTCAGTGATGGGGATAATGCAGTCTTCATCAAACGTGATCAAACAGAAAGCATCTCTTGTGGACATAAAATGCAGTTTAACAGAGAGGTTACACTTATCTCCCGTGAATGTGCAGGGTTAAAAGCGCATTTGTCCAACAGGTTTTGCACAGCGTATCTCTTAATCCTTCTAGTGGGAATCAGACACAATGCAGTAAGAGGCTGGCCCCCCTAAGCTGATGAAAGTCACCCCTGCCATCAGTCCAAGACAGTTCAAAGCTGAGGATGGTCTGAGAAGCTCTCCTGGGAGAACAGAAGTTCAGGCCAACTTAACTTAAAACTCCATGCAAAATGCCCTTAGCATGTTTGGGCAGTTAGAAACCAAATCTTCTCCTGCTCCAGTAGTCCCTGTTTGAGAAGAGGGGACACTGCTATAACTTTCTTCCATAACTTGCAGTTGCACGCCAGGCTGTTGCTCTCAATCTCAAACTCATCTCTTGAGCTCATGGCTAATCTGATGTGATATCTCTTTGATTTTTTCTTCTTTGTCCTTTTTTTTTTTTCTCCCCCTGCTGTTGTGAATATCCTGCTAACCGTGACTGCCTTTGAGTCTTTGCCAAATGTGCATCTTCCTTCAACCTGACTCAGCTGCAGAAACTTGCTTTAGGTCTTGTGGGGACCTATGAGGATCATGTAACTCAATTGCCTGACCACTCCCTGTCAGGGCTGACAAAAAGTTAAATAATGTCATTAAAGGCAAATGTCCTTAAACACTGACAGCTGTGGTGCATTAACCATCTCTCTTAAAGCCCATTCCAGCGTTTGGCCATCATCTCATTAAAGAAATGCTTCCTAATGTCCAGTCTAGGTGGCTTTCCCGTATTAAAAAAATCCTGTATCAAAAGCGGCTTTCTTGTTATTAATCTCACTGTATTAACTGCAGAACTCCCAGCTGGATACCCCAAGAATCATCACAGGGACACTTCAGCACCTAAATGATGGAGCTCTACATTTTAATCCAGTTTGCCCCACAGCACACAAAGTTAAAGCTCGTTCTTGGGCTCAACCTGACATTCACTGAACATCTCCCTGGGTTTGAAGTTCTCAACTGATATGTTAGAATATTGCAGGATGCCTACATGTTTTGGCACTATCTAGAAGCCAGTGAAGGAGGTTCCCTTTTAGCTCGTAATATAAAAGGACAAAAAAGGTACTCTTCTAAAGCTTGGATGGTCTCAACAGACACAGAAAACCCACGAAGAAAAAAAAAAGAAGAAAAATACATGCAAAACAAATATAGTAATTAGGTTACAAGGTTCTGTAAAAAAAAAGGTTTTTGGACTGTCTGGATTTGAAGTTGTTTTGTGAGAGAGATGATAATATAAAGGAAAAAAAAGGAGGACACAAGGAAAGGAAGAACAGAGTATAATAAATAAGTATGGCATGGAGTATGCTGACGTGAAAGTTTTCTCACATCTCTTTTCCCCAAACTAAGTGGCATCCATACACATTCATGTTACAGTACCTAAATACAAGCTGTCAGACCTAACACATTTTTGCCAGAATTATTCATGAAACTGTATGATCTCAAGAGAGGAAAGAGTTGTTACTTGGATTAAACTAGTTAATTTTCATTAACATAACTGGCATATAATTACTAGCTTCACCTGAGTAACTTATCACAGGCTCTATAGCAACCATAATTGAGATGTATTTGATTTTTTAAATTCTGTGTGTACTGCCTGAAAGCATAAATTTTTTTCCCCATAATAGACCTGCTAAGCCTCTTTCTTTTCCCCTTTTGTACACAATTAACATTTCATTTAATATTTCTATATTCCAGGTAGATGCCAGAAGAGAAATAGGTCCTAAAGCAGCAATCATGAAAAGCCATGTTGGAGAGTTCCTTCACTACTAAATGCATTTGACACTAATTGCTGTTTACTGAAGGGCCTGAGTGAAACATCACCCTGATATGTATCTGGGTGCCTGCACTGGGGTGTGGCAAAGAGGGGGCTGCTGCTTCTTACCCACAGCAGTTCTTACCCAATACAGCAATGAAAACAGGAAATTTGAACATGTTCGTTTTTCACCCATCTGCTTGTTGAAAAAAAACCAAATCAAAGGTCCATGCTGGTGCTTCCTCTACCAATATTTTAAATTATTTAAATCTTAGCTAATATTGCAAGATCTTTTTTGATTTATAATTCATTTCACCAAGTTATCTGCAATTAATAGTTCAGGTAGGGAAAAGATAAGTTCCAGGAGACTCTTGCTGGATCGATTAAAATTCAATAACATCAGAAGAAATACTTACACAAACAATATGGTAGAAGTCATATTTATTGATAAAAATTAATATATCTGCTATAAAATTTGTAACAGTAATGCAACTGAATATTTATTTTGATGCATAAACCTGAATGTTACATACCAAATACAATACAGTAACACTGGTTTCCTCCTTATTTACATGTTTATGAAAATTGATATGCAATCCATGTTAAAAGAACTTGTAATGGAGAATAGTTACATTAGAAAAATAATATTCTTGATAAAGCATTCTTGAGGACTCCAATCACATTTTCAGGCCTCTTTCAATAAGGCAAAAATCCCTGGTACAGCATATAACTTAATTTACAAAATACAATAACTTCAGACACATCTTCAAGTTTTCTTTTGGTATGCTTCTCCTCACTGTAAAATTACTCAATTCTCTTACTAAACAGAAAGAACTTCCTATAACAAAACTTAATGAGTTCTACTACATATTACATATAAATTGCTGTAGCTTAGCGACCATAACTGGGCAATCCTTCTCCTTAACTGTTTGCTCAATGAGCTTTTCTTAGATGTAGGACATGTAGTATTTTGAAATCATTATGACTGTGGTATCTTTCTTCAGTTTTCATAGGAAACAATCTGTCACATTTTGAAACTTTTTAAAAAATTTTATTTTATTTTAGGAACTGGTGCACAACTACATTTCCACTCACAAGAGAACGTCACAAATGTAACTAAAATTAGGCTTGGATAACTTTGAAAACATACTACTAGGTGCCCAAACCCAAATTTCTTACTTTAATACTTTATAACCCTGCCATGCTCTAGGAATTCTTCTTCTTCTGCATAGCTTCATTACTAGTCACAGTCAGACAGTTTTAATTCCTTCAAAGGCACAAAACTTCCACCTCTTTTCCAGTGTTGCTCCTACACCAGTGAATTCTTGTTTAAACATGTGTGGCAGTCTCATCAAAAGCATTTCTATCTCATTTGCGGAGATCTGAGAAAGAAACAAAGGTAAAATTAAAATGAGAAAGCTGCCCTGTAGCTTCTAAAGAGGAAACATTAAGAACAGATATAATAGGGGTGCGGGGGAGACAAATCCAGGCCACATGAAAACAGCCAACCATTCTTTTTTTAATTTAACCTTAGCCTAACACAACTTTCCAGACCCCAAAGCAAGTGCATATTCCTTGCAGGAATGATTTTGCTCTTGTAGGTGGCATCCCACTGTAAAGCAATGACAGCTGCCATGTCGGGGCTGTGGCCACAGTGTGATATGAAGTCCATCTAAAAACTACAGTCATGGATGTTCTTGTGAGGAGGAGGAAGCAGATGGGACCTTATTCTTTTCAGCCTACACATTTTTTAATTCTTCTCCCAGCTTCACCAGTTTTTCTCTTTCAAAAATACTTTAATCAGCTCTCTATTGTTACTGAAGGCTGACTACCCATGGAACCATCTTCCCTGGGTCTTACCCAGTTCAGCAGCCCCAGAGAATTAAGCAGCAAAGCTCCAGTTCTGCATTGGTCAGGATGTTTTTATCATTTTGAAACCTTAATGACTGCTCACCTTCCTAACAGGCAAGGTGCTCTCATTACGGAAAACACTTTCACAAAAGCAACCTTCCTGGTATAGTCAGTAGGGAAGTCAAGAAATTAACAGTCATAGAATATGAGCCGTTTTATCCTACTGCTTCAAAAGTGGTGGTCATGAAAGGAACAGCAAAGAAATCTATGGATGCTGCCTGTTATGCACAGGTATCTCCATGGTTTGAAAGGTTTCTCTGGAAACTTTCTACTTATTCATACTAGTAGAAACCTTCCATGGTGAAACCTTTCCTTTTTAAAACAGTATATAAACCTGAATGTGCTAATTATACCTCAGTACACACAAAGAAGGCCAGAAATATCTATTGTCTCTTATTTTTCTGCAGAGGTTACTGCAGCAGAAAGATTAAATGATTTGTTAAAGTTGTCACCAAAACTCAGTGTTGGAGGCAGTCTAAAGCCTCAGCATGATCCAATGCATCTTTTAAGTGCTCACATGGCAGCAGTGGGTGTCTGGTTACTTTTGTGCAATGTATCTGAGCTCTATACTGAGCCCTCAGCCCACACGGGTGTGCTGACCTTATCATTCCTGTTCAGGCGAGGAATGACAGGCTAACCATGGAAAGTAATTGAAATTCATCTCTGAGATTGCATCTCTGGATCGCGCTATTAAAAAGTAATTTGTTTCTACAAGCAGTTGCTTCCAAAATAAACCAACGAGGTCAAGTTTTGCAGCTTGTGTTTATTATGCAGTAGGTAGGTCTGGTGGTAGCTGCAGAGAGGGAGACAATGCTCCTTCCTTGAGGGCTCTCTTTACAAGTCAAGAGCTTGACCCTGGCAGCCTCATGGAAGCCCACATGCTACTCATGTGAGCAAAAACTCAAGGACAGAGCCCACAGTCATGCACAAGAAGGGACCACAGCAGTGCAGGGAGAGAATGTTCAAGAGTTCACTGGGCAGAAGCAATGAGCAGCAGGGCTGCAGCCCAGAGAGTCCATATTTTGGGTGATTGCTGTTATCACTCGAGATACAGAGCTGGAGAGATCATCCAGGAGAAAAAGCAGTTGAAACTTAGCCAAATGCTGTGTTAAGGAAGGACTTGAAAGATAACTGAGGACATTGGACAGACTGGGTGATGCAGGACAAGACAAAGTAAAGTGCTGTGTGGCAGGGGCATAGGGAAGCAGAATGGCTGGAGGTGTGAAGCTCTGGATTCATTAGGTCTTGATAAAACGAGACATTTAAAAAAGAATTGAAATTCACCAGTTTATCACATCTTTCTCCCATTCTCATCCCCTATTCCCTTTTCATTGTGGGTGGCAGTGGGCAGTAAAGCACTAGCAAATCTGAGTTGCCATGGCCTGAAGGGAGTGCCTAACAAATTCATTATCCTTCCTCACTCATCAGTGCAGCCTGTTGAAATTCCAGTGAGCTTCTAGTACTGGATCTCCTCTACTTTTAGCATTTCTCCATAGAAATAGAGGAAGGATCCAGGATGGTCCAGAAGCATGAAGCAGCCCATCAAAGCAGTGGGAAGCTGATTAGCTATGGGCTGAGGGGGCTGATCAGGAACAAAACATTAGAATCAAAGGAGTTGCAAGAAGATCTGGCAAAGCACCATCATCCAAGTATTGGCAGATGTGGGACAGAGCTGTGGCTGGCTGCAGGGTGACCCCTGCATCTGCTAAGTGTCTCCTGCAGCCTGGCATCCTGCAGAGCTGCTGTTTAGCACTTGGAGTACCATTCACCTGATCATTTCACACTTGAGCTCCTCACCTGTGACCTGCTTAATATTCAGTGCAGAGGAACAGGCACATTTGGAGGCTTGGTTTCGTCTCATTCTACAGCATATATTAAAAAGTAAGTCAAAGAATCTCATCCTACAGGTATGTATTGACTGTGGACTGTATGAAATGACGCATTAAACACTTTGCATACTGTTTTGTGTTGGCCTCACTTTTGTCTTGGCCACAGCTTCACTGAAATTAGTAGGGTCACCCAATTTCTTTATGTGGTTGTCTCTGCTCCCACATGGAAACAAAGGACATGCAACATGGTCCATTCCTGTGTTCATGAAGGTTCATTCAGTGTGACACACAACTAACAACTTTTCAAAGAATAAAGAGCCATCTCCAAAAGCTGCACAGTTTGATGGCCATGGCCACACCTGCCCCTTGTTCTGCTTTTTTTCTCAGCAGCTATATTTCAGAATCATGTGTCATAAAATCAGCTGCTAGTCTTTGCCACGTAGAGCTCTGCTCTTCTGTGCCACAAAGGATAGCTAAGCAGTGCAAGGCAAAGACCTCAACACAAGCACGTGCACTGTAATTTGCAAATGAATAAAGACTGCAAACCCCCAAGCCCCATATCCCATTAACTTTCTAATGGAAATGCATGAAGAGTTTAACCTGCAGTAAAGAATAATACAATATTTCTAAAGAGAAAACAGATTTTGATTAATTTTTTTTTACCCTAGAGTCCAACTGCTGCATATAAGACCAAAGATACTCTATATTGGCTCCAAAAGGGTGGACGTGAAGAAATGTGGATATGATACCTGTATTAAAAACAGACAAAAAATATTAAAATTACCTCAGTTACTGTAACATTAAAATAGGCAAAATAATTCTGAAGAGTCTGTTCTTGCAGGTTTTTCAGTATGAATTATGGTTCTTATTTTCCTTGCACAACCCAATAAACATAACAAAACAGCACATTTTTAATACAGTCATAGTAAAATGCTAAATACAATAGCTCATCTTCAGGAATGACAGCAGTTAGCAAGTAAGTGACCAAGATAATATACTGATGAGTAAAAGAATTTCTAAACAAAGCCTTGCTGGGAGCATTTCAACTACTAATTTTATGCTTGATTTACCAATATAAAATTGTGGATATTGTAATGATAAAATTATTGTTTTTTTCCCCTTCACTGGATTCTCTGTTGTGAAAACGTTTCATACAATAGTGTCAGAATCCTCACTCCCTCAAATTTTTCTAGCAATTATGCAGATGCTGGTTATGAAAAGTGTTTAATCCGTATTACCCCTAACTACTGCTGAAGAAAACACAAATGCTTTATGACATATTTGCTTATTTCCTTTTTCTTAAGAGAGAGCATATTCTGTCTATCTTCATTGCTGTTCTCAGGATGATTATAAAAGGTATGGGAATTAAAAGTGGCTTAGAAGGAGTCAGGATCTAAGTCTAGATTTTTTTCCTGCAGTGAAAATCAAGCATTAATAATGATGACCAGAGAAAACAAGATTTGGGGCATCAGTATTGCTATTAAAAGCACTATCCAATTTCTCCTCTTCTAAGCAAACAGTGAAAATACAAAATGGCATGTGTGTTACTTGCTGTTTGGGGAGAGCTGAACTGTAAGAATCAGAACAAATATTTTCAACTCTCTTTGGATGGGCTTCTTAGCTGAACCACCCTAGGGGAATTTCTTATACTTAAATCATAAACACCAGGATTAAAAATGCTTACAAATGACAAAAATGGGTCATTGTATCTTGTGTACTGCAGGCCATACTGCTTTCTTGATGCTGAATGAATTAGGATAATCTTGGATTTTGTTTTTCCCCAAGTACTGGCCGCGGTTGAAACTGATAAGCAACACTAAATGTATTTTAGACTGGTTTTGCAAAGAACATCTTTTTTCCTCCTCCACTTTTCAAACAGCATGCACAAACTTTTGGCCCTGCATAAGAAGTGGCGTGTATTAAATTTTTTACTATGGCAAGTCCTAGCAGCAGTGACCTTCTTTGTGCTGTGGGTGACTACAGGTAATCACACAAGAGCTCTAGAAGCAAAAGCCAAGAGCATCACACTTGGATGAGATGACTGGAAATTCAATTTGTACTCAAATCACATTTTACCAGTGTCATTGCATCTGTTATGTGGTTCCCGAGGCTTTTCAATTCAGGATATTCAAAGCCAGCTCTTTCATATAATGTAAATAATAAGTAATTTGTCAATATTTTGTAGTTATTGACTGGAGTTCCATGATAACTTTTTATTTTTTTTCTTTTATGTTCTTTTCCTCTACGACAACATTGTATTTTTTAAAATACAGGAAAACTTAGTGAATGGATGGAGGGAAGGCCCATTTTAGGCCCATTTTTCCCTTGCCACACCTGATCATGCCTCAGAGGAAGAGATAACATGAAATCCATCTTGAGGAATCTCTAATCTTTGAACTGTAACAGTGAGTCAGTTGTGGGGTTAATATGACCAGTAATATCTGAACTGAGGTTGTTCTGTTTATCTGAGTGTGCCACTGAACAGCAGATGTACAGGACCCACTTTGGGGCACTGCCACTGTTTGGTGCAAGTAGTGAGTGACCTAGAAAAACGTTTGATATTTTGTTCTTAAAATCCCATGCTTGCTGTCTTTCTTACAGAATGAAAAGATCAAGTACTGTCCCCTGCAATTAAAAGTTTCAGATTTAATTATAACAAGCAGAATTCAATCAAGTCATACATTTCTGTACATTCCACTGTTTTGCATCTCACTAGTCACAGGGAGTTTGTGCACTAAGCTCTTTAAAAGTTTAAATAAATTCTTCACTTTCCAATGACCTCTTTGGTGTGAACTGAACTTATGAATTGCTGAATCCGTGCCTCAGCAATAAACCAGTAATCTTCTTGGTGCCTAGGTGATGAAAATGAGTTGCACTTATACAAACTAAGGTAGTTTTGGAACTGTCATTTATCAGGATACCACTGATTTGTGAAAAGACCAAACCAAAGAAATTAAACCTGTTCTTTCAGGTCAACATTTCTGTTGCCATGCCATAGGGTACACTTTGGAACTGTGGGCCTTTGTGCTCCCTGAAAACCTACCCCACTGAAACCAAATCCAAAATATGCATGGGTCTAAATGGGGCATATTCCCTCCAAGGGTAGCATGAGTACAGCCAGTTCTGTGTGGCTAAATGCCTGATACCAGTTAGCTGGCCCACTGCCTATAATCTTTAGCTTTAGGCACTATTTAAGAGTTTATTTTAAAAATTTTATTCTAGGTAAAGGGTATGACAGTCCTTGTGGTATTCTTTATAAATATTCATATTGCTAATTCCCTTACCTAATGTCAAAGGCATAAATCTGGCTTGCTTAATACATGCAGTATATGTATTTTTTGCTTGGTAGTTTACTAATATTATTTCCATCCCCTTCTCCTTCACCACTTTGTGTAATAATCATATAACAAGCTATACAACTCTGGCCTGCTAAATCCTGATGTAAATAAAGTCATCATACATTCATGCTGCAAGTCTAAATGCAGACCCTGCAATTTTCTTTGCACCTGAAATCCTCTCATTAAACTGCAGAATTTTTCAGAAAGGCAAACTGCATTAGTATTTTAGGATTTTTCTTACTAAAAGCCATTCTGAATACAGATTTAAAAAACAAAAGGTCAATTTTTCTTTTTTACTTTAATTAGCACAAAGATGTGTGTAAACACATATGCAAAACAGAAACTTCTTAGAAGGCATTTTGTTCTCAAAAGTCTTCTTTGGGGTTATCTTACCTATTAATAGTGCCTCTTTCTCTGATTTTAGACCGGGGCTTCGTTTCTCTGAGTTTTTTTCTCTGTCCTGGTTGACCAATGCTACTGTCAATACATTGATTTCCTATAAAGTTTAAAAAAACAAACAGGTGGTCATGTAGATTTCATTTACCTCAATTAAACTTGTCTGCTTCCTTTCAACTCTATAAAAAATCATTACTTTAATTCACATCTAAAGACAAGACAATTATAAATAATTGATTCGTTTGCAGATTATTAAGACACATTTTGAATTATCTTTATGCCAAGTGCTGCCACGAAGAGAATTTTTGCTTGGGGAGTAAGTAATAACTTTGTTGCTAGTGCTTCTTCATTACAACAGCTGAAGGGATTGTGCCATAAAGTGTGGGGATGGTCAGAAACTCACATTTTGTAGCTATTAAAGCTGTAAACCAAGACCGCCTCCAGGGAACATGGATGCAGACATTCAGCTACAGCCATAAAAGTAAATTTAGCAGTCACTAACAACATTTCTAGCTACTAGAGCACAGCTCTCTGCACTGCTACACTCTTCAACCAGTGCCTGGCATGGCATTGGGCCATCCCAAACAATTCTCAGGCATGTTTTGGGAGTCGGCACATTTCAGGAAGACCATTCCTAACAGGTGGTTTGCATAAAGGTATCTTGTTTAAAGGACTGAAAAAGCACCAACATGAAAGGCAAACAAGTCAAGATTCCTACTTGGAGGTCTTTTTTTTCTGGAATCAGGTGGCCTAAATCACCTAAATTTCATCTGAGAGATCACATAGCAGATGCTCTGTCAGAAGTACCCAGGCAGTTGTGTGACTAGGTATATGTCAAGTAAATAAATTATTTCCAAGGCATGCAAGTGGCCTCAGAGTGTATTGCACAATATCCAAGCATATCTATGGGCTGTTTCCATGGAGCAGCCAATGTGCAATAACTCGTTCCTCAGTGAGGCAGTGATTCATGTGCTGCATCTGCTCTGTGAAATGCTCAGTAGTTCCATGCAAAACCTCGGAGGCAGAGAGCATGGTGCTGGTGACACGGTGGTGTGAGGTGGGACTGTGAAGGAATGGTGCCCTTGTTCTGTTTGAGGGAGTCAAGGTAAGCTGCTGGAGCTTGTGTGGGACTGGGCAGCCTTAAATGCAAGCAAGTATGTACTATTTGGTATAATGATGTGGCTCATTTAGGACATACCCATGGTGTGGTGCCTTGCTCCAAAAATTTTGGCAAGCATTTTTGGCAATAAAAGAGGGACACTGGGCTTGGGTTGCACTGAGGCATGTTGGAAGGTGTGAATAATCCATGCTAAAAAAAGGCATAAACTCCAAAATATGTCAAATGTGCCTCTTTATGGATGACTAAAGGCTTCACAGTCTGTGAGACTGGTAAAAAGAGTTGCACGCTTCCTCATTTTTAATTGAAAAAGAAAAAGAAACAACAAACATAACCCAAAACCCCCAGTGACTTAGTCTGGGCTCTCATCTGACGGATGGGCAGCGCCCAATGGCTCAGAGGCATCGTGGCTTCGAGTGTTCCTTTATGTCACAGTGAAGAACAAGCTGCCATGTGCCAGCTAAGGAACTCTGTGTGCACATAGGTGACACACATGCACATGTGCATCCTCAGCCCCCAGCAGCAAGGGGCTCTGACAGGCCCTGGCTCACACAGAAGGAGGTGTGAGGTCCACTGGGTCACCCGAGGTTTGCTGCCATTGCAATGGCCACTGAGGCATTTCTCCTGGCCACAGATCCGTGTGTAGTTGTGCACGTGTCAGTCTTTGCTGGCTCTTTAGTTAGTAGAGCTAAAATAGCTTTTTAGTTGTGTATTTTAGTTTAGGGAGTCTGCAGTTCAAGAGTTGGCAGTGATCCCCTCTTAAAATGATGGTATTCCTGGGTGCTCTGGCAGCTACATCACCTTGACACTGACACTCCTGTAGTGTTGTAATGCACAAGGCACATTATAGCAGCAGCATGCTCTAAATTGTCCTGGCAGAGCCAAAGGCTAATGCAAGTTCTGAGCTACTGCTGACCATGACATCCAAAAGCAGTGAAAAGAAACCCAGGCAAGAAATGAAAATGAAACACAACTTTCTCCAAGAGGGCAGTAACGACAAGGGGGTTACAGATCAGAACAGAGCTGGATGACAGATTTTGTGATACTGCAGCAGAAAAGCAGAGCAGCATATGCCACCAGAGCTTGTATAGGTTAGGAAGTAACTTTGACTTCATCAGAGAAAGAAAAGCAGTCTAAAAATAGCAATTCCTGAGAGGGGAAGGTGGGAGCAGGGAGATGTGTATTTGATATAACAGATACCAAACACAGCACACTTGCAGTTTCAGGTGGGATTAGAAGTTTTGTCAAGCAGTGATGCAGAGAAAGAAACTATAATCCCATTGGGAACAACGAACAGATGGATTCTCATTTAATGCCCAGATTTGAGCCTGTGCAGAACGTTTTGTATGATTTATAGGACAGTGTAAATGGATGCTAAAGGAAGTCATATCAAGTCTTCCTTAGCTCTGTGTTGGAACAGAGGATAAAAGAGTAAAAAAAAATTTATGGGGAAGCCTGAGGAAATGAGTGGCAAAGATAGATACTCAACAAACCACTGGCTTTAGAAGAAAGTTACAGGTTCTTGGAGGCTTTAAAAGTAGAGGTTTCTGCCATCCAATGCTACCTGCCTCACAGTAGATAATAAATTAGATCACTCTGATGTATTCAGCTGCCAAAAGAAGTTTGCACAGGCCATGCAAAAATACAGGGTGTGCATAGTCACATAAAGTAGATCAGAATTCAGACTGCTTGGAATTAATAGTGGTTTAAGAGAAATGGCATAATTGGGTCTAAAAAACGGGTGTGAAATTCACCCAGAAACTGGGCTAATTATAGCATAAGTGAAAACCTTAAGAATCTGACAGCATACTGCAGATACAGATCTGGTACCTATAAAGCCTTTACAACAAATCCTCATGCAGTTAATTTACACTTTTTTAGAGGCACTACTTATGTTAACCCACAGAAACAAGACTTTTAAGAGTATAAAGGTGAACGAGGCAATAAATAATTGGAAAAAACAGTTAGGTCACCTCTCTGGTATAAGAAAAAGCCACTGATCACCAGATGCCTGAGGAAAATTATTTAATTTATGCTGCATTACAGTATTTCCTTTCTTTCCTGGAGACCATTCTTTATTTGGCAAATTATATTTTCTGAGGCCCTAAGCAGTCTCCTTCAGCAGGTTTCATTATAAAAGGAATATTTTGCTACCATCTGTCAGTTACTGCATTAAAGGACAAGAACACAGCTGAGCATGTGCAAACTGGTACTTATTAGAAATGAAATGACCTTGTGACAACTAAACACAGTGTGTGAAAGGCTTAATCCAGGTTAAATCACACCTGGAGATCATTAGGGACCTGGTCCTAATTATTATTCAATTGTGTCAGGTATTGGAAAATGAGGAGGACCAATTTGATGACGACAGCTTTGGAGATGCTCAGTATGAATGCAACCATCCTGTGTGATGCTCTCACCATTGCCAGCTTAGAGCTTTTTTTTTTGCAAATAACTCTTTAATCGATCAGCAGATGATGAAAAGACATGAATTTGCCTCATGATATTGCAATCCCTATGGTTTTGCAGATATCCCTTGGGACCAGCATTTTGATTCAGGGCTCCCTGCATTTGAGCCAGGGAGGGAGAAACAGACAGAGAGTCTTTCCGGAAAACTTTCAGGAGAACTTTCTGGAAAACTTTCAGGAGAACTTTCTGGATGAAGCAAAGGACAGCAAACAGCAATTTTATCCCATGGACTTTTAATTTACACAAGCAGGTCTCTGACATGACCATTGCCACAGAGCTGATAGCTGTGGAGAGTCATACACGGCAGTTTTGCACAAGGATGTATAAAGGTTGGCTGTAAGATGGGAGAGAAGTTTACTTTTCATCTTTCACTCAAGCATCTTGGCTTCTTTTGGAAGAGGCATGGGCAAATATATTGCTCCAAAAGCTGCCTGGTCTCACTGTCCAGAGAGCAGCTGGGTCTGGCACTGGAGACACAGCAAATGAGAGAGTGACTCTTCAGAGAAATTCACTTCCCAGAGAAAAGACACAGAGCTCCTGAAGAGTAGAAGAGATGTGGTGATATTCTACAGAAGATAGTCACAGATCCTGTAAGAACAAAAGGCTAGCTCTGCACTCCAGGGCTCTAGCAGATCAGAAAGCTCCAGATATTTAGGCTAGATAAATTGGATCTTTCTCTCCTTTATTGGTTTCTTTTTTCCCCTATGAGAAAGTAAGATATTAAATAAGAAGCTCTCAATCTAGATAACATTAATCCTCTTCAGGTCAGTCTTGAACTGCAAAAAAGGCAGACACTATAAAATATTTCTTTTTGCCTGAAAATACAAGCATTCCTAAAAATGAGGGGAGTGAGGACTTGATATTCTCCATAAACTGAGCAAGAGTTGAACAGGGCTTGCACAGTAGCTGCCCTGCCTGGAAACTCCACTGGCCAGAGTGCAGATCTATACTATCTGTTGTTCAGGACTCTGCTTTGAAAGGCAGAATATAGGATTTAATGAATGTGACATTGAAGATACCTGATGTGCCCAGGATGCAATGACATTCAGAGAGATGAAATATTCCCTCCACTCTCTGGGTAATCCAAGTATTTGATAATTATCTTTGAATCTAGGGGGAATGATGACTGCTTGCATTGCATCTTCAAAGACCTCATTTTCTTTGGTGTAGTTTATTGAATTCTGAAGAATCGTGTGGTGAAGGGGAAAAAATAATATTGTATTTTCTGAAAGGCCCAGTAAAAATCCCTTAAACCTACCAGCCTCTGGAAAAGTTTGCATTTTTACTATATGTACAAAGCCAATTGTCTGAGGCATTAAAACAGCGGCAGAAAAGGGAAAGACTTGATGCTTGTCACAGCAGGCAAAACAGAGCAACTGCTGAATGTTGTTAGATGTAAGGGATACACCACACTTTCTCATCAGCCAGGGGATTTATGAGAGAAAATGAGTAGGAGGAGAAAAAACTATATATCTGAAACATAAGCAAAAATCTTGCAGGCTATTAACAGCAGG